CTTGGATCCGATGCTAAATTGACGAGACTCTTAAATTTTGGGGCTCGATGTTTATGTAATACGATATCACAAATAAAAATAAAAAAATTAATTTTGAATTTTTTTCTTGCATACCTCAAAATAAAACACTTTTAGTTTAATTATGTTGTTCCTCAATATGTCAATAGTGTTAGGACTTTAATTTGGATCCAAGGTTGAATTTATGAGACTCAGGTTTAAGGATCGACGCTAATTCAATATGATGCCATAATAAAATATAAAAAATAATTTGGTTTAGATAATAGATAAATTTGGAAGTAAACTTAGATATAATTTGGTAAAATAGATTCTTAAGAGATATGTTTTATTGTTAAATTAGACATGATATCTTTTTTTAAAAAAAAATTTGCCTTTAGGTGATCGATAGTTTTCTAAAAATATAACCAATTTTTTGTTCGTAATCTCTAAATCCAATATCCTTTTAAGTTTTTTTTTAATTTCTTTTAATATTAGGTGACAACTATTAATTCATGTCTCAAAACAATAAAAATAAAAAATAAAAAATAAAAAATAAAAAGTAATACTTTTTAAAAGTGCAGCAACACAAGTCAAATGCATGACAGGATAGCTAAACACACAAGTACTGTCTAATGTTTGGAAACATGCTGCCAAAGCCATTAATACTAGATTGTTCTTCCTGTTACAAGTCTATGGTATCGAATACTTTTTGTTAATTATTATTAATCTAAAGTGCCATTGAATTAAGCGCCTTGTAGTATTGCAAGGTCTTGGTCCAGGTGTGTGTCATTGCAGAAACAAAAGAAGCTAGCTAAGTAGGGGAACCTCTTGTTCAAAGTTGTCTTGTATGTCAAAGGTGCCCTCAATTCTAATTTGCGCATGGCAATATGGCATTGGCAGGACAATATCTTAAATCTGCTTTAACTGAATGCGTAGATAAGTAGCTGGAGAGACAAAGTAGTCACCCGCAATAACTGGGCAATGCTACTTATTCACATCTATAACCATTCCCCTACCACAACTCCTTCCCATAAAGTAGAATACAACTTTGCAAAATTTGAGAAGATATTCTTTTTGTGTTTTAGTTTTCAATTTCTATATGTATTCAAGAAAATTTTCAAAATTTGCATGTCAAATATTGGCAAGAAAAACTTGCTTTTTTAGCATCTTTGGACATTTTGTAGGACTAATGTTATTCTTATATAATTGTCTTATATAATTTACTTATCCAAAAATATCAACCATTATATGTATATAGTTATTAACGAAATCCACTTATTTAATGTATAGGATACCCATTCAATAGTTTATATTTTTTTGATAAGTGGTAAAATAATTATATAAAAATAGCATTACTCTTTTTATAGTATGAATAGAAAATATAATCCAAATCCATTAATAAACGCACCAACTCTAGAAAAAAAATATTGATAGACTATTATGCCTTTCATTAGAATAATATTGATATTATAGCATATCTCAATACGTAAATCCTAACTCACCTCTAATTAATAAATATACCATTTAAAAAAATTAATGTTTTCCTAAAAAATAGATAAATCTTGTTTTTATATTATTTTTCTATTTATAAATACATAAAACATGAAAAAAAAACATAAAATAAACCTCATAAATAACTCTTACCTATATATTGTTAGAGAGTAATATAAAACTATTTATGAGAGCCTCATCTAACAATTTAAGTTTTTCAATAAAATGGTCATTTGATATAGTATCAAAGCCTTAATGGCCAAATGATTGTGAGTTCAATTCTCACTACCTTCATTTCTTTCTTAATTCACATTTTATTTGAATAAAAAAAACTCTTTTATTTGAACAAATAAAACCAATAATATTAAACGTCAATAATAATAAATTACAACAAAATTCATACATTATGCAGAAAAATGCCTTGGTATTTATTTGAATAAAGGAATTTCTTAGACAAATAGAATTTTAAAATATTATAATAATGACAATAGTTGGGTAGAAGAATACATTGAAATTTCATAACATTTATACTATAAATATTATTGTGTGACATCCAATAATTTATCAAATTTTATTTTTTCTTAAAAAATTTTGCGAGAGTTTTCAACTATAGATGTTTATTAAATGTTTGAAATAGAAATAAAATTAAATATTTAATACATATTTTATTTTAATATTACAATTATATTAGTGTAGCTATTGAGGAATTAAAAACGTATTCATAAAAAAATATGTATAATGATACCTATAATATTTATGGTGTTATAGTCATATAGGATCACGGTTTTTTTTTTTTTTTTGGTGTGGGGGTGGAGGCATATTAATATTCCTGAAAATTAAATTAGAAGTTTTTTTATTAAGATAATTTTACCAAGAGCCTGTTCAATTGTAGAATGTTTTTTTTTTTTTTCTTTTCGTCATTTCCAATTTTTACTCTATATGGAGAGATGAGAGAATGTGTTTTTTGGAGTTTTTCAAAACAAATTTCAACTTTTATGAAATTTATTTATTTATTTATTTTTGGTATTCTCATATGTATAATTATTTATTTAATTTTTTCTTGATATTATTTTCTTATAACTTTGGATGAAAAAATAATAATAATAATCACACTAATCAATTCATTAACATTTTCATGTAATTTTTATTACATATGATAAACAATTGACATTGTTCACAAACTTTTATTCTCTCATCAACCAATTCAATATGTGTTATTAATACCAATATGCTTTTTTTCCTCTTAATTGTATCATAAATATGCTTCTTGTTTTTCACAATGAAATGAATGAAAGAAAAATGGTACATAAATTTGAGAGTTAGAAATCAATATATTGTACTAAGTAGAGATTACATAGTTGTTGTTAAACTCACCATCAAATTTTTTATTGGCACCACTTATTATTATTATTTTTTAAATACTAATATAGACTTCTCATTAATGTTTGTTTTTATATCATAGTTAAATAAGTCTTATATCAAATATTTAAAATTTAAATATGCATGAAAGCAAAAATACTATAGATATTTTAGATATTTGATCACATAAAATATATTTAACTATGATATAATTAATAACAAACATTGATAGGAGGATGTGTTGATAATTTTTTCTTAAAAAAAAAGTGGCGAGAAAAACAAATTTGACGTGAGTTTAGAAATATCTAGAGAATATATAAGTATCAGATAGATATTTATCTAATTAATAAAAAAAAATAACATGTTTATCTCTTAAGCATTTTAAAGATGGAAATTTGTGTTTACATGGAAAAAACAATGAGAAAAATCTCTGAGAACATTAAAAGGACATTTTCCACACTTAAATTTAAGTCGAATTGAAAAATATGCCTTTTCAATTGTTCAAATAGAAAAATATCTTTTTTGAACATGGAGATATTTTTTGAATTTGAATTCACCCTTAATCTCATAGGAACAAAATGGTTAAAAGAGATAAATCATAAATTCTTCCAAATTAATAAAGTGCCATAAGGATTTGTCCCCAAACTGAAGTGCTACACATTCAAATTTTCAGACGGTTGCCATGAGGATCTGTCCCCAAACTGAAATGGCACATTAATTGACAAGGTTGGAAACTAATAAATTACGCAGATTTAGTTGGAACTACATACATAAATTCTTCCAATAGTTAGAGAGCCCCTTTTTTCCATCTTTAGCAGTTGAAATGTCCTTAATCCACAACTTGATATATATTTTTGGGGTAGTCGGTTGTTGTTCATTTATTTAACCAAGTAGACCAAGAACCACATATTTTATCGAAATATATCATACATGGAAGCACAGAAGGAAGAAAGTGCAGACAGTATTGATCAAGGAGAACTAATTACCAACATATTCAAGAATCAACAAAAAAAGAGAGGAAGGCCAAGAAAAGGCACCAACGTTAACGTCAAAGAGTTAATTAGCAATAAGCGGAAGGATCAGAAGAGTCGATTTTTGGACGATATAGAGAACGAAGAATTAGTTGAAGAATTGACTTCTCTCCAACAAGAGGTTTGCGCAGAAGGAGCACTAGTTACCTTACTCAGTCGTCCGCTGCAGATGATAAGGCGACGGCGAAAGCGCAAAGGCACACCAAAGAGAGCTGCGATAAGTTAGTCTATCCATTATCTCTTAGGTTTCTGGAGGGAAGGGGAATCATAGTTTTCTTCAATAATATGTGGGAATGACAAACCAAGCTTAGCTACTCCCTGGCCTCTTCTTGATCTACTTTCTAGTTTGTTCATTTTTTTTTCTTTTTATTTTTGTTTTCTTGTCTCAAATTTCAAAAGAGATGACCGTGGATTACACGGTGCTAATCAATAGTAATTTGTTTTTATGACAATATATAAATTACTGGATTTTTCTTTGGCATATTATATTTTTCTTTCATTCTTTTTTACCCTTTACAATTATATATATTCGTGGTTGTAATTCAATATTTTAGTACTGATGCACCTCTAGTTCATTGCAATTTGCAGTGGCTTACAGGTATATTAGAAGATTGCAGGTTTAATTTTTAAGAAATATTTGGAATTGGACTTATTTACGTTGTCTTCCTGTTCTTATCTCCATAGGGATTCGAGAAAAAACTGAACAGTACAACTAATAGAACTTTTTTGACTGACTACAATTTTTTTTTTTGGTGACATAATTTCCAAACCTTTTTTAAAAAAAAAAAAAAAAAAGAGTTTTGATGAATATATATGTGCAATCTAAACAGGTAAAAAAATTTGAAATGATTTTATTTTCTTAGGAAACATTTTAAATAACTGAGATAATTAAAATTAAAATTTAAAACTAATTTGGACTGAACTTTTTTTTAGAAGATAGCTGATTGGCTAAACTTGTGGTAATTCAAGATACTTAATTGCGGCAAAAGGGGCTTAAATAATGTAAAGGAGTAAAAATGAAAATTCTCCATTGATTTACTTTCCACATGCAACGATCCGTATGGACACCACATATGCATATAAAGCAACCCTAGCCTGCAAGATTGCTCTTCGTTGAAAATAATGGCTTTGGAGAGTATAAACAACAAGAAAGATGAACAAGAAGCCTTTTCTTTAAACCAACTCGATCCATCCTTCTACTACAAAATTATGTCTAGGAACTCCTCTGTGGGCCGTTCTAGTACATATCAAGACAGCGATGTTAAGATTCCCTTGGACTGGGAAGTTCAGCCTGGCAAGCCTAGATATGATCGACTGGACGCACCGAGCACCTCTCACGTTGTTTGGGAGAGAGTGAAGAGCCAGAAATATTACTTTGATAAGAAAATTGAAGAAAGGTCTTCACGGACTAATTCGAGTGCTAGTGCCTCGGATGAATTCATCAAGGATTTCGAGTTTGTAAATCTGGATGTTGGTGAAACTATAATGTCAAGTTCCCCTTCAAGATCTCGGTCCTCACCACCACTGATGCGTTCCCCAACTTGTTCTATCAAACCACCAAAATCCCGATTTCAATACGTTGCAAGGGGACTGGTCAAATGGGTTTTGGCTGCTAAGCCTAGCAAGGATACCAAGTAGATAATTTTAGCATTATTCCAATTGTGTTTTGAGTTGCAATATTTGTATGCCTTTTATGCAATTGTATACCATTGAGTGCTGCTAGGGACTTCATGCTGTTTTCTTGTTCAGAAGTTCCAATTTGTTTTAAAAAGAAACTGATCCTTATTTTTTTCGTTTTCTTACATAATTGAAATGCTTTCGTGTATGATAGCTCTCTCTCTCTCTATATATATATATGGAGGTGCCAAAATAATTAAGCAAATTAAATAAATAAATAAATAAGCTAGTAAAAGCTGTATGGGAAAACCTCAAATTTGCTCCAAGCATATGACCCTAATATCGATTTACTTCCAAACTTTTTAATCGTATCAATTTTATCTCAAATACATTATCCTATTATTGATTGAATTACAGACCTTCTTATTGTTTCAATTGTACTCCAAACGTTATTATTTTAAGACAAAATTACCTCAATTTGCATTTTTCGTTTGTAGCAGTTAACAGATCCATTAAGTTTGCATGTGATCCAGCACGTGCCTCTTATTTCATTTCATTTCTGCGTGAAAATAAATTTCAGTTTGAATAAATTACCCCATAATTTGGACAACTCAAAAATCTTTTATCTGAATTAGGTAAGTCGAGGTAGTCATTTCTATGATAAATTTTAAAATACTCAATTAGTAGTTATCAATACTTACTTAGTTGATTCACATTTTGACCTATAAAAATTTATAAGAATATTTCCACTTAAATTCAATTTTTTTCTATATTATTTTCTTCTCTTTTTTGTGTTTATCTCACTCCTGTGAAATAAGTATTGACAATTATTTATTTACTACTATAAAATTTCTCTTCCTTCGTGATTGCAAAAAGTTTTTGCTACAAAAATTTGAATATCATTACTGTCATTCTGGCGCAGTCTAGCTTGAAGAGTGTGGACTCGGCGTGAAGACGTGAAAGATCCCACGGCTATCCCGCTCCATGTACTAAAAAAATAAAAATAAAATTAGCATTACCGTCACCTTCTTTTCTTTAAGTTGCTTTATTATGTCTATTTGTAATTTTTCTTTTTCTTTTTTGCCTTTTTTTTTTTTTTTAAAAATTGTATGTTTGAACTTAATTGATATGTTCATTATCGGAAACGAATAATACAAGATGGGGTAATTTTGTCCCACAATAAAAATATTTGGGATAAAATTGATTTAATCAAAAGGTTTGAAACTCAATCGATAATGAAGACATATATTTAGGATAAAATTGATACAATTGATATATATATATATATATATATATATATATATATATATATATATATATATATAATTGATACAATATATATATCCGTATCCGTATTCTCTTTATATTTAGTTTATTTGCTATGTTTGAGTTTTTATTATAATAATTTATATTCATATTCATGTTCAAGATATAAATTAGGAATTTAGTGTAATTATGCTTAAAAGTTAGAGAATTCCAACATGTTTAACTTAGACCTTCTATTCTTTTTTTAGGTTTTCCAAAGGTTTAGAGTTGGATTTGGAAGAAGTAACCTTTAGAGATTTTGTAGAGAACACTTCAAGCGTTTCAGAATGATATAGTGGACAAACATCCAAGTTCGTTTGGGCCTCCAATTATTTTTTCTTATTCGATTTAAAAAGTTATCCGAATTTTGAGGAATCCGGACTAATTATGGAATTTAATTAATATATGGAGTTTTAAACTTCTAGTTGATGCAAGGCTAAACCCATATGATACTTAAGAGTCGTACCTATAATTTTTTTGAAGGCTTGAGTCTAAAATAGGTCGGTTTGATGGAGGAATTCAGCTGTAAAATTAGACTCCTAAGGTTGGATAGATAGATTGAGTTGATGGTAGTTTTTAGCCCATAATTGGAGCTATAGGTCTCCAATTGATGCACGACTTAATGCGTTGGAAAGATAAGAAATAGGGCTAAACATATCTTGAAGAAACAAAACTCTAATTCCACATGCATCTAGTTTATATATGCAAGAAAAGTCAAAATAGGAAATCGGACTTTTTGAATTCTAGAAGAGAATTAAGAGTCACTTATGTTTTTCATTAATTTTAAGGGATATAATAGGGATTGCTAGGGCGCGAAACGCCTCTCTCTCATTCTTCTTCCTCTCACCTTCTCTCTAAATTTTATTGGATGTTTTATTATACTCATGTCTTGCTAATTTCACATAGTCAATTCATAGATGCTCAATCCGGTTAGTAAATTGTGAGACTCTATTTTTAATATCGGTAATTTTTCTATTCAAGTATCTATGTTTCTTAATTTTATGTGTTATGATTGCATGATTAAATTGATTAAGAGATATATTAATTGATTCAATTGTGTGGTCTATAGCTAAATTGAAATCGTAATCCATAATTGTTATAACTTTTAGTTAGAGTAGTAATTAAACAAAATAATTACGATCCAACTTTTTGTTATTTGTTTAGAAGAGACATAGAGTGAATTAAATAAATTGATGCTTGGTCAATTGTTGTTCATATTTAACTCCTTTCTAATTTGCATAATGTTATCGATAAATTTAAGAGGATTGCTTAATACCAATTGATTTATTGATAAGGATTAATTTGTGTCATGAGGGCGAGGTTAATGAAATTAGGATAGGTAGAGATTATTTGGCTTCCTAATCATCTCTAGTTAAATATTTGAATAGAAAAATTATAAATTTAAATGGTCGGTGATCAATTTGCAATTGTGAGAAAGTTCCCTTGAATCAATATCATTTTTTATTAAGTTTTTCCTTATTATTAATTTCGGTTCGTTTAAGCTTTCGTTACACAATATACATGAAACCCTTTTTTTTCATTTCCTTGTTATTGTGATTTGATTTGTTGATCCTCGTGAATTTAATCCTTCATCATCCTATCCGTATTTCAAGAATTAGAAGGTAAAATATTTTGGTTGCGATCGACACACATCAACAATCAAAATATTTGGGATTCAATCCATAATAAGGTTATACATTTGAGGCAAATTTGAGGTTTCCCAATCTCTAATTAATAGTTGGTTGATGTTCATTAGAAATCTACATCACGTACTTTAATGTCCTACATTATTGCTATCCGACATTTATGAGACTTCAAAAACTTTGGTAGTTGTAAGGGAAAAAGAACTAAGAAAAAGATTTGAGAGTTGCCACCTAGTATTAAAGGTAACTAGAAAACATAAAAGGGGTATTACATTTAGAGATTTTTGGTAAAGAGTTAGCTATGCCATAGGGAAGATAATAATCACTCAAAGGCACCATCTTCGAGGAAAGGTATCAAATTCAGTTTAATCATAAAAAAATCTCCTACAAATTATGTTTCTTAAATCATTTTCCAAGTCCATTTCTAATTTTATTTTTCTAAATTCAAAAACAGAATTTTATTTTATTTTTTATCTTGGAATTGTATTAAATTGACGTCAAATTTCACAATTGAGTCTCGTCAATTTAGCATCGAATCCAATTATGTCCTAACACGATTGGCATATTGAGGAATAACTTAATTAGCTAAGGGTATTTAATTTGGATAGATGAGAAAATGTCTCCAAAATTAATTTTTTTTATTTTGGAATCGTATTAAATTGACATCGGATCCTAAAATTACGAGTCTCGTCAATCGAATTTATTTCAATTCTAACTCGATTGGCATGTCAAGGAATGACCTAGTAATCTAGGGGTGTATTTAATTTATATATAGATGAGAAAATGTCTCCAAAATTTTATTTTTTTAATTATGAAATCGTATTAAATTAACGTCGAAATCCAAAAATTAAGAATCTCATAAATTTAGCATCGGATCCATTCCAATCCTAAAATGATTGGCATGTTGAGGAATAATATAGTAATTTGAGGTGTTTGTGTAGGATGCCGAATAAAACTAGCCCGACCTAACTTTTCAATTTTTTTGGGAAAAATTAGCATAAACAAGCCTTCGGATATCAACGTATGTTCAATTAAATAAAAAATCAAGCTTCCATGCTCAATTAAAATGGATATTAAGCATTTCAAGCAATCACAATACAAATAATTCAATCGAGTCAATTGATTTATAATACACCGGGATCAACATTTATCTCAAATAATCTATAAAATAAAAATTTACAAGACTTCGGGATCAATATTTATCTCACGTAATCTATAAAATAAAAATAAAACTCGTCCTCCTATCTCTATCACGAGCATTGAACCAATCTTATTTCTCCTAAAAAATACCTAGGGTCTTAAACCCTTTCGAGCTTGATACGTAATGGTGTATCTAAATACGCTTCAAACATCACAAACATAAACAAATCTACATTTTGACATCTCATTCATCTAAAAATATCAAATGGAAATAATTTATATTATTTTCATCTAAAATAATAAATTGGTACAACATATTTCAAAAGTTATCCAAACAATTCGTTGAAATGGTAAAAAGAACACCACAAGAGTCAATTTGAATGTAAAATTATTAAAATGCCCTTTGGGTCGGTTTATCTTTCTTCGATATCGGTAAAGATTAAAACTATTTCAATCACTCAAGAAGAGGAAGCAACCGCCGGTTGTACCATGAGCTCTCGTTCCTTGCTTATGTTCAACTCTCTAATTCAAAGCAAAAATCAAACAAAAAAGTAAAAATGGAGTTTGTCATACCCTAATTTTATCCATTTCTCCTTTTATTTTAGTTTCTTTTACTTTTGTTTGGTTTTATTTATTTTTTAGTTCATGTTTGCTTAATTAAAATAAAAAATTAATTACGAAAATTAGACAAAAAGAAAAAAAATATTTATTATTTGAATTTTATACAAAAAAAAAAAGAGAGAGATGTAAAATTAGGGATAATCCCAAGAAATTTTATTATGTCATAACCCATTTCTCATTTTTCATGTTTGATTTTTTTCTCTTTTTCTTTTTCTTTTTAATTTTTTAATTAAAATTAAGGGATAATCCCAAGAAATTTAAATCTTAAAAATTTATAAAAATACCTAAAAATTATAAAAAATAAAAAACTAT